CACTCGCCATACCCACACAATTCTCCACAACAACTGATTTTTTCTGCTACACCCGGCTAAGCTGCTTCGCTTCTTCTTCTTCTTGTTTACTACTGGTGGTTGGCTTTGGTCGCAGTACCGCCACCTTCTGCTCTGGAGTGGAAACGCTTCGCCTATGAGAAAAAGGAGCAGAGCATGAACCGAACGCAACACACGCGAACTGAACCGAGACAGTCGAACCGAACGGTTCGGACGGTTTTCATGAACCGTTCCATCCCCAATATATATATATCTATATATATATATATAGATATATATATATATAGATATATATATAGATAGATATATATATAAGTTATATGTACACAATAACTTACTGCTAAACTCAATACCATGGAAATTACTCTACTCTATACTTGATACAATAGGGATAAAAATAAAAAAAAAGTACCTTTTTTAAACTTAGTGGAGCATCGTTTCTCAGCAGAATTACCGATGCTAATTAAATTTGCTTTTGAAATAAATACATGATAAATAACCCAAATATAGCAAAAGGTTTTAAAGTTAATAAATTCTGATTCTTTAAATGTGCAAATAATTCAGAAATCTAAAATAGGACAGAAGGAACGCCAATTTAGAGAAGCCAATTTACCTAACATTCATGTTTTTGGACTGTGGGAGGAAGCCGGAGTACCTGGAGAGAACCCACGCATGCTCAGGGAGAACATGCAGACTCCATGCAGGAAGACCGCGGGCCGGGATTCAAACCTAGAACCTGCTTGCTGCAAGGCAGCAGTGCTACCCACTGAGCAGCCCCCCAAAATTGAATAATTAGGTCCAATATTTGGAGAAAAAAACGGTCATTAGTTTGCCCTAAATGAATGAATGATAAAGACTTAATGAGTTATAAAGTGTTTAAATCATAAACTCTTTATTAGCCATTTAAAAGAAAACCTTATTGTAAATCACTAAAGCATTTTTATATTTGTTTGCCTCAATTTTCAAGAGTTGTTTTTGAATTTAAACACGTCTGTAGAGCAAAAAAAACAGAGTTTAGTTACCTAAGAAACATTTGTAGGGTTTTTTTTTTTTCCCAAAACTCCTAAAAACTCATTTACAGGAACAATGAACCTAATAAATCAGCCTCTAATCAATAAACATGAGGAGATATTATACTATAGTTATTTTAATAAACAGAGATTAAACTATAATTGATTTTTTGTTTTGTTTTCTAGTCTAAGGAATTATTAATTCCCTTTTTTATTTGCAGTATTTCAGCCTGTGTTCAAGTTCATGTTATGCTTCAACAATCCAGCTGGGGGCAGTAGAGAGTTTTTGTCATCAGTTGAAGGGATTTTTGCTGATTTACTGACAAATTATTTCAGCTTTGATAAAATCATTTATAGATTTAATCCTAAAGCTGAGAAACTTCACTTCTTCTGTCCTGCAGGTAAAAGGAAGTGGAAGAAGACGTGCTGCGTGCCGTCCTTCGTCCTCTTCGTCCTCATCCTGGCCTGCCTGATCGCCGGCATGGCGCTGCTGGCCGTCTTCAAGGTGGACGGCGAGAACCAGACGGTGAACGCCGTGCTGATCGCCATCGGCAGCGTGGTGGGCCTGGCCGTGCTGCTCAACTGCAAGACGTGGTGGCAGGTCACCGACTCGGTGCTGAACTCGCAGAGGAAGAGGCTCCATAGCGCCGCCAACAGGATGCACAAGCTGAAGAGCGAGGGCTTCATGAAGGTCAGACCCGCTTTTAAAGGAGCCTTCTGCTACCTGCAAACTCAATCAACAGACTAAGATCTTCTTTTCACCGTTCAGCCTTTTTTTCCTCAGTTTGCTAAAATCAGATTCTACCTAAAACAAGTGAAACACGTGAATGAAAGCTAATTCCGATCCTCATTAAATCCAACACAGAAAAAGTTGTTAGAAAGAAAACTCTGAATCAATCTGACTGGATGATCTGGTTGAACTGGAAAGTGACCTGAGATGACATGATGTGAATTGGAGCTATAGAAATAAACTGAATAGAATTGAAAAGTCTAGATTCCTGCTGAAGTTGGTTTATTTCTCCACGTCTGGTTTCATCCCACAGGTGTTGAAGCAGGAGGTGGAGCTGATGGCGAGGATGGCGAAGACCATTGACAGCTTCACCCAGCATCAGACCAGGCTGGTGGTCGTCATCGATGGTCTGGACTCCTGTGAACAAGATAAAGTTCTACAGATGCTCGACACGGTGAGGAGATAAATGGATTCCGCGCCCTGCGGGACACTCTCCAGCTCTAATGCTCCGGGTTTAACCTTCCGCAGGTCCGCGTTTTGTTCTCCAAAGGCCCGTTCATCTCCATCTTCGCCAGTGACCCGCACATCATCATCAAAGCCATCAACCAGAACCTGAACAGCGTCCTCAGAGACTCCAACATCAACGGACACGACTACATGCGCAACATCGTCCACCTGCCCGTCTTCCTCAACAGCCGAGGACTCTCCAGCGCCAGGAAGATGTGCGCCGCCGCGCCCGCCAACGGGGACGCCGCCAACTCTGAAGGTGAGCGACGCCGACAAGCTTCTGATCGTCTCTGTTTTTCTGTAACGTTTTAGAACCGACCCACTGATGGTTCTGTTCGAAAGATTCATTCTCTGGAGATTTTTTATCAGCTTATTTTGTTTCACATTGAAGTAAAGATGGGAAAAGTATTTTTGATAGCTGTTAATCAGCAGGAAACCTCTTAAAACCTGCGGCTGCAGATTGTGCTGGTGAATCACTGAGCGCATGAAGGTATCAACACCAGAAAAATACAAATATCAGCTAAAAATATCCGATAGACCGATGCATCGGTCTATCTCTGACTCTGATGATGTTTCTTTTCTGTAAAAATGTGATGACAGACCTCCACGTGAGTCGGGGTTCTACACCTCAACGGTTCAAAAACTGGGTTAGGGTAACTCTGTAAGCCCACATCATCATACCGCCGCCGTCGTGCAGGGTTCAGTCCGCTTTTTTTTTTCTCCTATTGATGCATCATAGAAAACCAGACCCAGATTTAAAAAATGTAATGAAGATATGCTCTAGTTGTAGATTCGAAAAAAGTTTAAAAACAATCCACTGGACTTTATTGCCAAGTTTTTTCTTCCCATCCAGGAAGTTTTTTCAATTAAAATGTCAGAAATAGAGTTGAGTTGGAGGTTTTATCCAGCAGCCCAACAAAGCCTGGTTTTAGTTTAGAAAACATGCAAATAGAAACAGATGAACGGGTCCCCCCCTTTGGAATGCGGGTCGTTTGGTTTCTTTGTTAGCCTGCAATGCCCCATACTGTCCCCTCTGTTTAAGGTTGGTTTTCCTTTCTTTACATAGATCTATGTTAAGAAAGGAAAACCAACCTTAAACA